AATCGATGTTATTCTTAGATATATCAGATTTCCTGGGCAACAGACTGGTTCCCAGAGAAGTTGGGACCCAGTGCATTCCCTACAAACCTAGTGATCTCTAATGATTTAAGGGTTGTGCCAGGGAGAACTCTAAAATAGGGGAAATTAATATAGAAATTATGTCCATTGTAGCAAAAGCACATGTATATTTAATGATATCCTAATTAAATTGCCAATGATATTTTGAAAGAAATAAAACAAAATTTAATATCAAAATAATCACTCAAATTTGCTTTCAATAAAATCTTTCCAGAAATTAAGCACAGATGGTCAATGGGCATATGTAAAATTCTCATCTTCACTAATTACTACAGAAATATAAATTTAAACTACAATAATGCTACCACAGCATGTGAGAAAGAATTAGACTGAGTGTAGCAATATCAACAAATGCAAGTGTCTTTTCAAAATAGTGTTTTGGGGCCTTGCAGTATATGCCACATGCAGAATCGTCAAAATTTCAACAAATGGGCAACAATATTTACAAAATATTTAGCCATATAAACTGGAGCAAGAAAAGAACATTCAGGAAATAGAATTAGGAAAATTTAGTCACATGCAAAAAAAATCTCGTTCACACTATGCACAAAAGTTAAATGGATTAAAGACTTCAATATTAGACCTAAATCCATAAATTACATTGACAAAACAGTCATAACTCTTCAGTTAACAACAGGAAGACCTAAATAAAAATAGTGACATATCACCTCACAATAGAAGAGTGACTCATCAAAAAGTCTAGAAACAACCAGTGCTGGAGAGGATATAGAGGAAAGGGAGCCCTCATCAGTGGTTAGTGGGAATGTTGCCAGGTTTAGACTATATTGAAGATAATGGAGACTTCTCAAAAAATTAAGAATTGAGAATGGTTCATACTGTTTTCCAAAAGGGCTGAACCAGTCGGCATTCCCATCAGCAGTGAAGGAGGGTCCCTTTCTTGCCACATCCTCTTCAGCACAGGTTGCTTTTGTTCTTGTGAATGTGGGCCAGTCTCTGTGGTGTGAAATGATATCTCATTGTGGTTTTGACCTGCATCTCCCTGATGATTAATGATGTGTAGCATTTTCTAATGTACCTTTTTGACATTCAGACTTCTTCTTTGAGAAAGTCTCTGATCATTTCATCGCCCCATTTTTTGATGAGGTTGGATGCTGAAAGTAGACTATACACCAAACATGATTGCCACTCAATGCCTCTTTTGCAAACCACAGCACCCAAAAGGAGAGAGAGAACGAAGGGGAATGCCCTGCCACAGAGGCAAGGTTGGATGGGGGGGTTGGGGGGAGGAGGGATACTGCGATCCGTGGTGGTGGGAAAGGGGCACTGGAGGAGGGATGGGTATTTGATCATTGTATAATTGAAAAAAAGTCTAGAAACAACCAGTTCTGGAGAGGATATAGAGGAAAGGGAGCCCTTTAAGCGCAAAATTTGTAAGTCTACAACTGTACCTCATAGTGTCTCACTAATAAAAATTTAAAAGAAGTTCCATAGTGAATGCACAAAAAAAAATTAAGAATTGAGGTTCTGTATTAACCTACAATTCCATTTCATGTAACAGCCCCCAAATATTCTCATAAGTACCTTTGGGTTTTTTTAAAAATTTTTTCTGGCTACACCCAGCCGTGTTAAGGGCTTTCTCCTGATTCTATGCTCAGGGATAACTCCTGGAAGATCTTGGGGACCAAGATATGATAACAAGGATTGTACCGGAATTTATCACATGCAAGGAAAATGCCTTATCCCCTGTACTATTGCTCAGGCCCCCTTCATCAGTACTTTGATGGGAATTTCTTGAATCTCTATTAGGCCTGGGATAGGATGATCAATGTTAAAATTTCTAATCATTGAGCATTAAATATATTTTTTTACTTCCTTGTTTTCCATGTGTAAATTTTTCATAGCCTCTGTTATTGCTCAGGTACTTGATTAATTTGAACATTATTATGTAGTTGTCTTTTTATTTCTCTCTCTTACTTCATTATCTGCATATAAATTACAACATATTTTTGTGTACTAATTTATAGTTAAGAGTTTTGCCACGTTATGATCATCTAATCTTTGATAAGGGAGCAAGAAATGTGAAGTGGAGCAAGGAAAGCCTCTTTAACAAATTGTGCTGGCAAAACTGGACAGCTACATGCAAAATAATGGGCTCAGATCTCTGCCTAACACCATGTACAAAAGTAAGATCAAAATGTATTGAAGACCTCAACATAAGACCAGAATCCATAAGGTACATTGAAGACAAAATTGGCAAAACCCTCCATGACATTGAAGCTAGTGGTATCTTCAAAGGTATCACACCACTGGCCAAGCAAGTGAAAACAGCGATAGATAAATGGGACAATCTTAAACTAAGAAGCTTCTGCACCTCAAAAGAAACGGTGACCAAAATACAAAGACAGTCTACAGAATGGGAAAGGATATTCGCCAAACACACATCCGACAAGGGGTTGATATCAAGGATATACAAAGTACTGGTTGAACTCCACAAGAAGAAAACATCAAACCCCATCAAAAAATGGGGTGATGAAATTAACAGAAACTTTGTCAAAGAAGTCTGAATGGCTAAAAGGCACATGATAAAATGCTCTACATCATTTATTATCAGATGTGATTACATCTGATGATTACCTCTGAGATCAAAACAACAATGAGTATCATTTCACACCACAGACACTGGCCCACATCCAAAAGAAAAAAAGCAACCAGTGCTGGCACGGATGTGGAGAGAAAGGGACCCTCCTTCACTGCTGGTGGGAATGCCGACTGGTTCAACCCTTTTGGAAAACAGTATGGACGACTCTCAAAAAATTAGAAATTGAGCTCCCATTTGACCCAGCAATACCACTCCTGGGAATATACCGTGGAGAGACTAAAAAGTATAGTCGAAGTGACATCTGCACTTGTTTGTTCATTGCAGCACTGTTTACAATAACTAGAATATGGAAAAAAACCTGAGTGCCCGAGAACAGATGACTGGTTAAAGAAACTTTGGTACATTTACACAATGGAGTACTATGTAGTTGTTAGAAAAGATGAAGTCATGAAATTTATATACAAGTGGTACTACATGGAAAGTATCATGCTAAGCGAAATGAGTCAGAAAGAGAGGGATAGACATAGAAAGATTGCATTCATCTGGGGAACATAAAGTAACAAAATAGGAGACTAACACCCAAGAATAGCCGAGATTAGTACCAGAAATTTTGCTCCATGACTTGGAGGCCAGCCACACGTGCTAGGGGAAAAGGCAGCTCAGATAGAGAAGGGAGCACCAAATAATGTGTGTTGGGAGGATCCTCCCAGGATGGGATATGCATGCTGGAAGTAGACTATAGATTGGCACTCAATGCCTCTTTTGAAAACCACAGCACCTAAAAGAAGAGAGAGAACAAAAGGGATTGCCCTGCCACAGAGGAAGGGTGGGATAGGGATATGGGGGGTGGGAGGGATACTGGTATTAGTGGTGGTGGAGAATGGGCACTGGTAGAGGGATAGGTTCTTGATCATTGTATAATTGAAACCGAAGCACAAAAATTTGTTAGTCTACAACTGTACCTCATGGTGTTTCACTAATAAAAATTTATTAAAAAGACTTTCACCACATTTTGGTGATTACAAAAAGCAAGAGGTAACAGATCATTTTTCAGGAAGTCATTTAAGAATATTGTAAACCTCTGAGAGAACCTAATGTCCTGATTAGTGATAGAATACAAAAGGCTAAATTAAATGTCTAGAAAAAGGTTTGGTATACTTTCTGTGTAGTGTCTGTAGATATCTAATTTCAAGAGAGCAAGTGCTAAACTGTCGAAAATAGCATGTTGGAAGACTTTTTGGATGAAGAATAACTTATTAATATACAGACAACAAATAGTGGCAGATATCAGACATATTTTTAAAAAGGGCTCAAAAATTGCATAAAGAATAGATGCATGCAAAAGCCAAAAGATAGTAGTGTGAGTAGGGTGTTTGCCTTGCATGTGGCTGACCAGTGTTCAATCTCAGACACTGCATATATTCACCTAAGTACTTCCAGGGATGATCTCTGAGCACAGAGAAAGGGGGAAACTTTGAGCACCACCAGTTGTGGTCCACAAACCAAAATATCTAAATAAATAAGTGTATGAAATCAACCGTTCACCACAAATGTTGAGTAATAAAGGTCATGTTTAAGCTCCATCTGTAAGGGGGTAGTGATGCATTTTTCCCCATGAGTGTGATCACTGTATCACTGTCATCCTGTTGTTCATCGATTGCCTCGAGCAAACCCTAGTAACGTCTCCTTCGTCCTAGCCCTGAGATTTTAAAAAGTACCATATTCGAGGATCTTTCAGGGTCAGGAGAATGAGACCCATCATTGTTACTGGTTTTTGGCATATTGAATACAACACGGGGAGTTTGCCAGACTCTGCCATGTGGGCAGGATACTTTTGGTAGCCTGCCAGGTTCTCCAAAGTAAGAATTAGATGACAAGAATTAGATGATAAGATGAGTGTGATCAAAAATGAAAAACTTACATGGGCTCTGAAACAATGTGTCTGGACAGCAAGCTCAAACTGTTTTGTAATGGGAAATACAATCATATTTGCAAATCAGATTTCAGTGTATACTTTTCAATTTTGCAACAATGCTGACAAGTTAGATTTCATTTATTTATCATGGCAAGCTACCCTTGACATATTCGATATGCCAAAAAAACAGTAACAACAAGTCTCACAGTTTGTTGCGAGATGTTACTGGCACCCACTCGAGCAAATTGATGAACAATGGGAGGACATTGCTACAGTATAGCATAAGATAATACTATTTGGTATTTTTCTTGACTTTATATTACCAATAAAACAACATTTATATCGTTATAAGCACAATAGTATTTGAAATTATATTTATAGGCTGCATATGTTTAAAATATGCAAATGTGTTTTTAATATGTGGAATATTTTGTTTTTCTTTTTCAGGGATGTTCTCTGTGGAAAACTGGCCTGTGTTTGGCCAAATAGGGATACTTATAAAAGTGATGTTCATTCTGTACTCTACACATACATTCATGATTATATTTGCATGTCCATAGCTACTGGAACATCATTGAGAGCAGATGGAAAAGATTATGCCTATGTTGCTGATGGCACTGTGTGCGGTCCAAATATGGTAACAGAATAAATGACTTTGTAGTTAGTTGTTTTCCCGTAAGTAATTTTAAGGTACTATAAATTCCAAAGTGGAATTCTATTATATTCATTCATATTCCCATAGCACAAAAACAGAATATACTTAAGTATGGATAGATATTTATTTCCAAATTATATAAAAAACATTAAAATACATTAAATATATTTTCAATACTATTTTGGGAACTCATGTCATATCAATCCTTATGAGACTGAACTATTATATTTTAAGCACAATATTCTGATTTTTATCTTTGAATTATAAGTGCTTTTTAATTTATATTTTTAATGAGGTAATGTTTTGTATGACTATATTCATTTTAGGTTTGCAATTTCACAGCTCTTAAAAATAGCCAACTTCAGATTAACTGCATGACACACACACTAAATTACATATATGCATATATATGCATTTATAAATATATAATGTGGACTACATATTACATATGAAGTTTGGAAGAAACAACCATAACTTCTCATTAAAAAATATGATTGAAGTGCATTTACATGATCATGTGCACGTGCAAATATATATAAAAGTAAGCATTTAAAGTATATAATCATGAGAAAAATTGAAAAAAGTTTCAGTCGTAGCAATATGAAAGCTTGAGGTCATATTTTTATCATAAACTTTGATCTTGACTAAGAGATTTCAGAATGGTACACATCTCTGTCATTTTTCAATTCTGTTATTAGATCTCTAATAAATAAGCATGGTGAAAAAATTTATAGTTGTAGCAGTGTGTATTGTGTAATTTGTGTATATTTGTATACTTATAAACTATATTTGAATATGTGAAGACGTGATATTTTGGTTTTAGTATTTTTTATTTCTAAAATGAAAGTTCAATTTTATTTAAAGGACCATAAACTATAATTCCTTCCATCACTTAATCACTTAACTTCCCGTTAGTCGTCAATTTGCTCGAGCGGGCGCCAGTAACGTCTCCATTTGTTCCTGTCATGTGCTAGTGTAGCCCAATGGCATCTGTTCGCTCTGGGAACATGAAGGGCCTCAAAATGATCATTCATGATCTTGACGAAGAAGTCTGACCATCTGGTAGGTGGGCGGCCACGCGGTCTTTTGACATCCCGTGGAATCCTGTCAGTAACAGCTCTAGTCCAGCGGTCGTCTTTAAATCTCATTACGTGACCAGCCCATCTGATTTTCGACACCTTGGCAAATGAGACAGCATCCCTGATTCTTGATCGTCGACGGATGTCAGAATTCCGGATTCGTTCTCTCATTTGAGTGAAACGTGATATTCCAAGCATAGCTCTTTCTATTCTTCTTTGGGAGACCTGAATAGCGTTCTCATCTTGTTTGCGTAGGGCCCAGGTCTCTGAGGCATATGTTAATGCGGGAAGAACAGTGGAATCAAAGAGATGTGCCCGGAGCCGGAGGTTCTTCGTCCTCTTAGCTATTTCTTCGACGTTCTTGAAGGCGTTCCAAGCCACTCTCTTCCTCCTGTGCAGCTCGGGTGCCAGGTCATTTGTCATGTTGACCTCTCGACCTAGGTACACATAGCTGTTGCATTCGGAGATGGTCGTTCCGTTGAGAGCGAATGGGGCGTCAGGAACGAGGCTGTTTCTCATAAACATTGTCTTCGTAAGATTCAGCTGTAGTCCTACCTTTCCACACTCATGGTCAAAGTTGGCCAGCATTTGTGCCGCTTGACTGATGTTTGGTGTTATTAAAACAATGTCATCAGCAAAGCGGAGGTGGTGTCGTTGCCGACCATCTATCTTCACTCCCATTCCTTCCCATTCCAGTCGTCGCATGATGTTCTCGAGGGTGGCACTGAAGAGTTTCGGTGAAATGGTATCACCCCTCTCTTGACATCAACGATCACTTCTTTGTAGAATGGTGAGATCCTGGTAGTGAATCTGCAATACAACTCACGGAGGATCCTGATGTATTGGGCTTGAATGCCCTGATTGGCTAGGGCTTCAATGACCGCTTCCGTCTCAACAGAATCAAAGGCCTTCTTTAAATCATGAATGTTAAACAGAGCGGCATCTTGAACTCCTGAGAAACCTCAATGAGCTTGGTTATCGTGTGGATATGGTCAATGGTGCTGAATCCTTTGCGGAACCCGGCTTGCTCGCATGGTTTTCCTTCATCAAGTGTTCTGCCAATCTTATTTAGGATGACTCGAGTGAACAACTTGTAGATGACAGACAATAGGCAGATTGGGCGATAGTTGCCAATGTCATGGATGTCTCCCTTCTTGAACAGTAGTACGGTCCTGCTGGTTTTCCAGTGGGACGGAACCTTGCATTCAGACAGGTAGCGAGTGAAGAGCCGAGCCAGTGTATTGATGAGTACTGATGGCAGGTTCTTCAGGTGTTCAGGTCTGACCTTGTCTGGGCCGGGTGCTGTTTGTTTCTTTACCAATGAAATGGCGTGTCAGATTTCGGAAGGTAGAACGTTGGGAACGACACATCCATCCTGTGGAATTTGGCATGTCGGCAAGTGGACATGGCTATCGAAGAGATTTGAGTAGAAGTCATGGATAATCTTCTCCATTGCCGTTCTGGAGAATGTGATGGATCCATCAGGATGTCGGAGGGCAGTCATCTTGGTCTTGTAGTTGGCGAAGGACAGGCGGGCATTACAAATACTTTTCCCGGTTTCTGCCGCATCTACCAGTACTTCTGCTCTTCTCTCTTGGAGGTCTTCCTTGATCGCATCTCTGCACTGCTTTGCGAGCTCAGACGTTAGCTTGCGGTTGCCTGAGGCATGCGCCAAACCACACTGGTGAATTAGCTCAAGAGTTTTCGAAGATAGGCGATTTTTTGTGGCTATCTCTCTCTTGGCGTTCCTCGCACATTCATGGAGGTGCTGAACCAGTCGATCGTATTCCTCGTCAATGTTGTCAACAATGGCATCTTCCCATGTTGCCGCAATAGTACCAAAGAGTTCCCACTACTTCCACTACCCAGCCGTCGCCACACACTCCAGGACGCTTTCCGGACCTGCCCGGCTGCTTCGCGGCCGCCCCACACATCATAAGACACTAAATACCCATCTTCCAGAATTGTCGTACCGTATTTGATAGGGTTCAAATATGGTAACACTTACAAGGGTGATTAGAGGTCGCCCCAAAAGCCTCTATCCCTCTCGGAAAGACTGGCAAGCTACCGAGAGTATTCCGCCCACACGGAAGAGCCTGGCAAGCTATCTGTTGTGTATTCGATATGCCAAAACCAGTAACTACAACTGGTCTCATTCACCTGACCCTGAAGCCTTCACCGACATGGCAGCACTGAGAAGGATGAGAAAGGAGAGGCCGACAAATTCTTTCCATACAAACAATAAACTACAATTTCTTCCAAATGAATAATAAAATTGGTCTTAAGAGTTTAGATCACTTATGATGACTCTATTTGTTGCTCTTGGCCTGGACTCAGCTCCACAGTGTACACTGAAGTAAGAGGAGGGATCACTGAGCTGACCTCTTGCAGACCTTGCTTCCACCCACAGCACAACCCCAAGTCCCTGTGAGCCAAAGCCCCACCCTATAAATAACTAAATGACAATTTTATTTCATCAACTTCAAACATTTAAAGTCCTGTGAATAGTCTCAGTGGTTTACTTTAGACTAATCCTGCCACCATTAAAAAGGGATTTAGGCATATCTTCCACAGTAGCTAAGGTCCCACCTGCACATTTCCAGCAACTGCCTGAGAGTATTATCTGGATAGAAAGTCCTGGCCAAAACAAATCCCTGTTACTGGTAAATGTAGCACCTCAGACAATTGGAAAATAAAGAACACAAAATTGTCAAAAGAAGACAATGAGGAATCCAATCATATAAAACCTCAGCAATCTACTCCAAGACCTTTTTAGGATGACTATTGTGGCAATCATTTAGAATTTGAAAATGACATTTAAGCAGAGAACAAACTTGAAGGAAATCTGATAGAAAAGCAAAACCTTTCAAATAGAAGTAAATGAATTTAAGAATCCAGTAAATCTCAGAAACAGTATGGATGAATCTGACAAGAAAACTACGACACTCAAAGTGTGCCACAGTTAATAATCCCAGCAAGAAAGAATAGAGCAAATAAAAGGATATAAGGGAAATTATTGATATTATCAAGAGGAGCAGCCTCTTGGTATCATTTTTATCTTATAATAAAATATTTTATTTAATGTATCTTAAGAAAATAGCCAGTTTATTATCTTAATATAACATAGTTTTGTATCATTATTATAAAAATACCAGAAGAAGAAGAAGAAAGAGGTAGAAAAGAAGAAATTCTACTTGAAGAAATAATTGATAAGAATTTCTCCAATCTGAAGAGTTGGTGGGAACAATGCTATAAGGACCCCAAAAGTTTCAACCAGAGTAAACCCAAACACAACAAAATATTTTATAGTCAAAATGGCAAGTACAAAAGGCAGAGACAACTACTTACAGCCACAAAAGGGAAGCAAAATCTTACGTGCAAGGAAATCCATTAACTTCACAGTATGGTTCCTTAAAGCAACTCTACAAGCAAGGAAAGAATGTCAGAGCATGTGTGGAGTATAGATTGAAAAGAATCTGTATCCAGAACCCTCTACCAAGTAAGATTGTCACGTAGTGTGGAAGAAGAGCAAAACATTCTCAAACAAACAGTGACTAAGGGCATATTTAGAATAATGAAATTCTGGAAAGGACACTAAAGTGTCACATATAAAAAAGGAACTATCAAACAGCACAGCAACTAACTACTCATTCATGGCATTGAACCCCTGCGTAGTAATTGTTTTTCTAAATGTCAATGGAATGAACTCTTCTATAAAATGATACAGAAAGTGGGATGAGTCAGGAAACTGAGCTCAATCTTCTGTTGTTTACAGGGACACACTTAAACTTTCATGATAAACACTGACTCAGAGTGAATGACTCTGAATAAAAGAGTGAAAAGAAAACAGGAAAATAGCACCAAACTTTAAAAGCACGGAGAACCATAGTGGTTTCAGACCAA